AAATGTCAGGACAGTCTCTGAGCTGAAACTTGTCCAATCTAGTTAGTGATGCACTCAAGGCACATACAAAATAAGTGGAGGGGACCATAGTTGTTTGAGGAAAAGGCCAAATAAATCTGAGTATCATCTGCATAGCTATGGTAAGATATCCAATAGTTTTGTAGGATTTGGCCAGGAGGAAGCATGAATATGAAGATTGCATGAAGAGTATGAACCTAACAATCTTAGGACAGTTCCTGTGAGCTCAACCCAAGTCTATTTATAAGAATTGTATGGTCAGTGGTATTAATGACTTCTGCAATTGAGCAGCAGTAGAACAGATATTTTTCTAGCATCTGTATTTAAATGAATATAGTCTCAGTACTATGACTGAAAATTGTCCAGACAGCTATTTAAAGACAGGAAGCCAGTAATTTGCGCAAAGATAATTTTCTCAATGATTTGTCCAAAAGATAGATTTGAAATGGATCTGTAATTACTTAATAGAGCTGCTTCTAGGTTTTTCTTTTTTAAAAGAGGCTTCACAACTCCAGTTTTTATGTCTTCAGGAAAATGCCCCACATATGTGAGGTGTTTACTATCTGAAGCATGTCTGCTACTACTGTGTGAAACACATTCTTTAAAAAGTTGGTAGTGTCGCGACTGGAAGTGGATGATTTGAGATGACTTACTTATCGATTAAAGTTTCATAATTAATAGCACAAATCTGGGACATAGGCACATTGATGGATATAGATGTACTAATGACTTGTCTGATATTATGCATTTTAGTGTTAAAGTCTGCAAAGTAATTCAGTCTCTTGGTTAATATTAATTCAGAGGACATTACATGGTTTTAACATTAATTGGTGTACTCTCATGCACACTAATGGGTTTTAAGTTGAAAGAAGAAAACACAGTGATAAACTGACAAAGCAACATCATCATCATTGGCTGAGACCCTTTGAAATAACATACAGAGTGTTATCATAACAGTGTGCTCCTGGTCACATGCCGAGACAGTCCAAAATAGTCCAATATGATTCCTTGGCATAAGGATTGTCAATATGTATGTTAAAATCACCACCAACAACAAAATGTTAAAAATCAGTGGACATAAAAGATTATATGTTTGTAAATTCATCAATAATGTGATTGTACTTCAGAGGTACAATATATTTCAGAGGAAAAAGAAAGAAAAAGACAGGAGAAAGAATAGAAATGGTGACAAAATGTTTCAGTGACTTTGACATGACAGAATGTGGCATCATGTGCTGCTTTTTGAGGCCTTCTAGTCTGCTTCACATTGGCAGACAGGTTCTATTTAAGTGATCTTTAGATTCAACAGGTCTAGCAGTAATCATGTCTGGATGTGGCAGTGAAACTGAACCCAATAGTCAATTTAATTTGGTTAACCGGTGGATTTTGTAGCTAAGGGGGGTAATGACTTTTTCTCATAGGGCCAAGTAGGACTGATAAGCATTTTTCCTTTAATACATAAAATCATCATTTAAAAGTAGCATTTTTGCTCACTTGGGTTATCTTTATCTAATATTAAAAGTAGTTTGATGGTCTGAAACATTCGAGTGTGACAAATAAGCAAAAATAGAAGAAATTTGGAAGAGGCAAAAAAATTCACAGCAGGGTAGCTAGAGGGTGTAATAGGAAGTGACTATACTGGGGGGAAAAAAATTATGCACATTTGCAGAAAAATGTCTTATTTAAGTGTGTTCTCTGTAGAGGATGTCTTAACTTACAGTCACTTAGAAAACTATTACTTAACTTTTTTTTTGATCTGGGTTTTCAAATGATTGCATTATTATGCATTATGTTTTTATAGGCAGCTGAATTCAGAAGTGAGTGGGCTGTAGAAGGACGTAGAAGATGACTATAAATGCATGTAGGTCAGTCAGCCACAACCTATGCCTACAAAAACTGCTCATTATTTAGTTTCCAAACCTGCAGTGGCTTCCTGAAGGTGAAGATCACTGAACTAACAGCAGCAGAGTTCATCTTCAGGTAAAGAGTATTTTTGTTTACCTTAATGTTGTACGGTTCTAATATTATTCCAAAGATATAAACACTTCTAATGCTGATCTACTGCTTTTGTGTGTGTGTGTGTGTTTGTGTGTTAAAAAACCAAAATCAAATTACTAATTTGCTAATAAATGTATTTAATATTTCAGCCAACAAATTATAGCTGCAAATCTCAGCTAAATAATTTATTTTCTGACATTTTTTGAAATATGTATTATTTTGTATTGTATAAACGGTATTGTTACTAAAACCCTTAAAGTATTTCATTTAAGTCTAATATTAACTTTTATTGTCACTAAAATTTAATTAGAAATGATATTGTTGTTGGGAAAAGTTGTAAAAGTTTAGTCTGAAATTGCTTTGCTGCCTCCCAAAAAATGTTTCTAATCTTTTTTAATACCTATTAATGTCAAAGTTTAATCAGTAAAATAACTTCCACCAGCATCAGTCAAGCTTTGTTCATACAGCCTTATGCAATAATTTGGGCAACCTGGTCCAATTGCATGTTTCTTTGTTTTTCTAAGTGAAAATAAGTTAACACATCCTCTACTCTACACACTCCTGTATGTTTTAATGCTTATTAAAGATTTGAATAATTGTCTATTTGCCAAATTTAACACAAATGTAAAATTAAAATAAAACAGAAATTGTGTGCAAGTTTTGTTTTTTTTTGTTTTTTTTTACATATGGTGAAATTGTGTACTAAAATTTGCTGAAAAATGACATACCCAATTGCATTCAATGTAGAAGATGTGTTAACTTATTTTCACTTTGACCAGGGACGCCCAAACTTTTGCATAAGACTGTATTTTTCTTTACTGACAATCACACTGTTGTTACTGCAAATAAGGCTCCATCATATTTCAAGCATTTCTTAATTTTTTGAGAAGGTGAAGAATGGATCAGCATGCAGAACTGGATCTTTCTGTGAGCTACTGTGTTTCCCATCACTGTATAAAAGAAGCTCCATACTGCCCTTATTGTTGGATGCACTGCGATAGTTTCAGACCGTCTTTCACGTGGCTATGGAAACACTTATTGATCCCCTTCATCAGAGTAAAGTTAAAAGGCCACTGAAGGGTGAAGTACTGTCCTATTCATGCATTTGTGTTTAAAAATAACAGAAATAAAGGCTTATTAGACCATATTATTTACATATTAAGAGAAATATATCACACTGAGACACATACATGAGAGAAGAATGTATTCAAATACAGAAGTGGCTGCTTTCTTTGTATGCATTAGAAGATTGACAATTGTAATTTGATCTACAGTTATAACAGGATAAAAGTAAATATTAAGGCAGAAATTGAAGAAAAGCTTTATCGATTCACCTTAACATGTTTGCTCATTCATAAACAAGAATTACAGGCAAATTGGACCACTCATGCAGTGTGAGATGTTACTGCGCTTTTATCTCATTTACATCTACCGCAATCCATAACACAACAAAATCCCACAAAACTAAAAAAAACTGGCCAAAATTTTGTCTGGTAAGAATAATAAAAGTTAATATAAGTGGAATATAAGTGGATGAAACTATAATATAAGTATGAGTGGATGAACTTTTGTCTACAATTAATATGTTTGCAAATTATCAACAAACTACACATTCTCCCATTCAGTGAATTCACTGCTGCGTTTAAAAAGCATGTTTTGGTCTCTTTGGACTGAGCATCAAACCTTGAAGTTGTTGTTGGAGCACAGGAGCAGGATTTCAGATGTAAAATTTTGCCGTAAGAAAAGCAAATTTAAGTGTTACAGAGGACGACATTTTTAACAGATTCCTCTCATACTTTCAGCTGACCCTGTACTTAAAACAACCTTTCTTCTTGCATCAAATCCAGAGATTTGATTCCAAGTGATTTTAGAGCATCTCTATTGGTTCATTCGTCATGAAATTTTCACACAATGTAAAGTATTCAGACCTAAGATATTTACATTACACAGATGATTTTATGATCTAAACCAAAGGGGTTAATTAAGATAGTAATGACTACCAAAAATCAATATTTATAGGGTACTTTCTATTATAAGGTGTCAGTTGTAAATCCTATATTTACACTTATGAAAATAATTCAAACATTTTTTTTTTTTGCATTTTTTTTCAATGTTGTTTGGAAATCGATTTTTTTTTCCTTTAAAGTGAAGCTGAAAGATTTAGATTTAGCTTTCTTTTTTAAAATAAAAAGTGACATTTTCCTGTCACTGCTAAAACACAAGAGCTTCAGTCTATAGGTGGAGCCTTATTTTAGCCACACCCCTTCATTTTAGTGCACTAAGTGAGACTGCATCCCTGTCCCTCATGGCCACATGGTGAGCAGTTAGATCCCATTGTTTTGAAGTAAATGTGTCCCAAACTCTGAAAATTCACAAAGTCTGAGAACTGTCACTACCAAAATGAGAAATTTTAGAATTTTTTGTGTGTACAACTGTTCAAAGCTGTATTTGTCTACTGGCTACTTTTGTTTGCTACACAAAATAAGCTGAGATTGTTGTTATTGAAACAGCCGCTAATGAACCAATGGAAAGTTTTTGGTAGTGTTATTATTGTATTTGTGGTGACAAAATGGAATGTTCTATCATTTGTTTTAATACAATACACATCATTAACGTATAGTGTGACTCAAAGTTGTAGTCTAAAGTCCAAGTCAGTTAGTTTTCAGCTCCGATGTTTAACATTAATAGACACAATTATTAGATCAAATTTAATTGTGGTGAAATCTGAAATTCCAAATTGCATTGAATCAATTCTTAATGAATTATAAATCAAACTGCATAATTATCAGGTCAGAGATTTAAACTATACTGCATGAATTTTCTTTGAATTAACTGATATTTATTGGTGTTTAATTGTTATTTATAGACATTTTATTTCTTATAGTACAATAAAATTAATCATAGAACAATGACAACACTCATCTTTCAATGCAGGAAAATCAGAATAATTTCAGTAAATATCACCTTTATTTTATTGTCTTTAGATTTTATACAGGTTTGTATTCAGGATGGCCTCCAGTTTTGTACCTGTTGAGAACACAAGAAATGGCTTCACCATTGTGACCCAAGTGGTTCCAGCTGGAATGGATCAGTATGGCCCTGGGACTGGAGTCTTCACTCTAAGCCCAGTTAAAAAACTTCTGAAAGGAGAGCCGAAGGCACTGGGGGTAAATCAGTTCTGGTCTACTTTTCTTTAATATATTACACTGGGAATGTTTACATTATTTGCTCTGATTGTGTCTTGTTCTCACAGACTGTTCAGATAATGATCGGGATCATGACGTTCTTATTTGGCATTGTTAAAACGGTCCACCTTCCAAGCCTGAGTATCATCAGTGGTGTCACCTACTGGGGATCGTGTCTTGTAGGTTATTTTGCGTATCCTTCATATTCCTGTAGTTCTTGAATGTGGTTTTTATTCAGACATGATAAAAACTGAAAAAAAAAATAAAATTATCATACCTCCTCCTCCTTCTTCGTCTTCTTCTTCTCCTTCTTCTTCTTCTTCTTCTTCTTCTTCTTCTTCTTCTTCTTCTATACCAGTATATCACCTCAGGTTCTTTATCTGTTGCTGCAGGCAACAAAGCTGATACCTGTGTGGTAAGTAAACACAGCGTAAAGTGTACTTTTATCATATTGGTGAGATTTAATATGCTTAGAAAGACAATGGCTAATTAAACAAATGCCATCATAGGTTTATACTCAATGGCCACTTTATCAGAAACCCCTGCTTTGTTGCTTCACCTTGCTGGTGCACAGTTAGAGACTGTAGCTCTCCTGATGATGTACACTTTGCTTCTAATAAAGTCAGTGAGTGTGAATTAAATATTTCAAGTGAAATTTAATGTCCACGTATCTAAAGGGGGATGCTGTTACTCTGTGAACTGTGCTGCATGTTATGCTGTTGTCTGTTTCTCCTCTTGTGTAGGTGATAGGCTCCCTGGTGATGAACATAATCAGCGCTGTGGCTGCAGGAGTAGCCATCATTCTGCTCTCTATTGACATTTCCATACGGCTATTTCATCCATATTATTACAGCTGTTTATATGAATATTCTTCTAGAGACAGTGAGATATGTAAAGTTATCACCTGGGTGTGGGTGTGTATCTCTCTAGTCAAATTGTTCTAGATGTGCTACATTGAATTGCCTTTATTCCATAGTGTATATTAATGCCACATTAATAATAAAAAAATATTACATCAAAGCGCTTATTTTAACAGATTTTGTTATATTTAGTAATCCTTTACATTAAGGGTCACAAATTAGCTGATGATGACTTGCTAAGTAATTAAATACTCCATAATTAATATCATAATTAATATGTGGATTGAGCATTAGTTACTGATTAAGTACTTAGTAATTAGTAATTAAGTACAGTGTTACCTGATTAGTTTAGTTTGTCATTAGTTCACAGATTATTTACTCATTATTTTTGTATTATTTGCTGCTTATTACACTGATAATGAACTGATAAGTGTGTTCACTCATATAAATAAGTAACATGAGAACCAGAAACTACTTCTGCGTTAAATTACGGAGTTTTGATGTTGATGTGAGAAATTTGTTTCTCATGTAGGAAAGATTCTTCAGTGGAAAATGGACTCTTTTTTGCAGTTAACAGACGATTGTTTTTCAGGGCCAGTCGAAAGGAATCAGTGGAGTGCTGCTGGTGTTCTCTCTGCTCGAGTTCATCATCTCCATCTGCACTTCTGCGTTCGCCTACAAAGCCACCTGCTGCGCTGAATCTCCGGTCAGTGAGACAACGTCTTTGTTGTGTTTTTAAATATTTGACTTTTTCCTTCTTTAGTGCTGTAAGTGAGCAATCACACGGTTTTCATGTGATCTGATCATGAATTGTTGTTTTTGTTACAGGCCCAGGCCATGATTTACCTCAACAATCCTGAATCAAACAATCTAGCTGAAAATGTTTAAAATTGTAAAGAAAATTTCAAATTCATTCTCTAAATGAATTCCTCTTATGTTGTAAATTTATATCTGTTAAGTTCTGAAGCTATATTGGTTAAATCCTATTTTCATCTCCTAAATTCCTAAAGTCTTACATTAATTTCTGTGAAGTGCTATTTTTTTTTTACTTAAATACTAAATTCATTATAAAATCTGTAAAAAATCTATAAAAATACTTTAACATATATGTTTATTGCTGTTCAGTTCTAAATTTATGTTGTGCTTCTAAGTTCTAAATTAATTCATGTGATCTAAATTTAGTTATGTTAAGTTTTAAATTTATTTCTATTTTTTTGTTACCCCCTTTTTTTTTTCTCTTAAATTCTAATTTGATTATGGTTAAGCTTTACATTACATTTCTGAATTTTAAATTTATTTTGTCCCTAAAATTTAAATTATAGTTTGAAGATATTCAACTTAGTATACATTGTGGCAGGAAAAACACCCACACCTCTTACACACAAAATAATGTAGAATCATGTATGGGTTATTTAGGTCAGTCGGTCACACCTGCCCACACATAAACAGCTCTATCAAAACCTCCAGCAGTTTCCTGATAAACAAAGATTTCTTTGTGTTTCCTTCTGTGTGGTTTGGTTCTGGTATTTTTTTAAAGATAAAACATTTCTAATGCTAATCTACTGTGTGTGTGTGTTATAAAGTAAACAAATTATGCATTTGCTAATAAAGAGTTTGCTAATAAAAAAAAACTAATTTTTGGTCCTAAAATTATTTTTAAAATATGACCATTGATGAAGGACTAGTGGATGACCAATACAAACTGTGCAGTAACAGATGAGCTATCATCTGACTTTACATCATCAAGGTGAACCAACAAGGTAGAAGTGTCTAATAGAGTGGACAGTGAGTGGACATAGTGTTTAAAACTCCGGCAGCACTGCTGTGTCTGATCCACTCACACTAACACATCACTACCACGTCAGTGTCACTGCAGTGCTGGAAATGATCCACCGCCCAAATAATACCTGCTCAGTGGGGGGGGTGGGGGGGTCCTGTGGGGATCCAGACCTTTGAAGAACAGTGTGAAATTAAATGTATGTATGTATGAGTGATTTGACATCTTTATTGTATATTTCTCACCTCATTTAGGACCTGCATTAGTTAAAGAAATCAGAAGTAAAATGTTATTAAAAATTTGAAGTAATAAGTGATCCCAAAGAATTAGTAATTTGTAATGGAATATTTTTGGTTACCGGTCAATGATAGGTGTTGTTAAAAACATGTTGTTAAAAGAAGAGGTGATGAAACACAGTGGTAAACATGTCTCCGTCCCAACTTTTTTGGAACATGTTGTTGGCATCAAATTCAAAATGGCCATATTTTTTTCAAAAAACAAAAAAACATCTCAGCTTCAACATGTGATAGTAGTATTTTCCTTTAAAAATATGGTTTACTTCATTTGCACATCATTGCATCCTATTTTTATTTACATTCTGCACAGCGTCCCAACTTTTTTGGAAATGGGGTTATTTTGGAGCATAACCTTAGTTTTGTGTTTTAGAGCAGATTGTGTGTGAAGCTAAAAACTTTGAAAGGCTGATTTTGGAACATATGTTTGTGAGCTGGTTAACTTCCCTGTGGGGTGCGATTGTTTATTGCTTCCCCAGACAATAAAATTGGCTTCACTGTAAAAATGCACATGCTACAAAAGTTACACTGAACCTACGAGTGTGGGGTTTGAGGGGTGTCATGTACTGATAACTGTGTCCCTCTGACTTTTAACATGGCTGCTTTGCCTCTGGCATTATTTACACTGTAAAAAATGGTTCATCAATGGTTCATGGTTCATCAACTTCACCAATACTTTGAATGAATATTTATTTCAATCACTAATTTTTTGAGTTGAATTAAAGTAGTTTAATTGTTTGTTAACACATGAATACATTTTTTTTAGGTTGAACTAGGAGCCATTTTTACAGTGTACAGAAGTTGCAGAGCAGACAGCATCTGGCCTGACGGTCTGCAAAACTAGGCTCAACTGATCTTGTTTAAAAATTTGAATAAAACCTCAAAAGGAAGAGCAATAAAGAATGTTTTAGCGGCTGTTTTGCTGTTGTTTGTCAAAGGGATCATTATGAAGCTTAGAGTAAAAGGGAAAATGATCCAGTAGTAAAATCAATAAAGGAAAAAAAAGGATGTAGAACGTAAGACCAGTTGGGGGATTTAGGCCAGTCAGCCGCATCTCCCACCCACAAAGTTTCCAAACCAGCAGTGGTTTCCTGCAGATGAAGAGCACTAAAGTAACAGCAGCAGAGTTCATCTTCAAGTAAATAGTATTTTTGTTGCTCTCTATTTACTTCAATTCTAATACAACCCCATTTCCAAAAAAGGTGGGACACTGTGCAGAATGTAAATAAAAATAGGATGCAATGATGTGCAAATCAAGTAAATATTGATTTTTAAAGGAAAATACTACTATCACATGTTGAAACTGAGATTTTTTTTTGTTTTTTGAAAAATATGTGGCCATTTTGAATTTGATGCTAATAACACGTTCCAAAAAAATTGTGACGGAGACATGTTTACCACTGTGTTTCATCACCTCTTCTTTTAACAACACTCTGTAAGCGTTCGGAAACTGAGGAGACACTGCTGTAGTTTTGAAAGTGAAATGTTTTCCCATTCTTGTTCTATATAGGATTTCAGCTGTTCAACAGTTCAGGGCCTCATTTGCAGTATTTTTCATTTCATAATGCGCAAAATGTTCTCAGTGGGTGACAGGTCTGGACTGCAGGCAGGCCAGTTTAGTGCCTGGACTCTTTTAATACGGAGCCATGCTGCTGTAATACATGCAGGATGTGGTTTGGCATTGTCTTGCGGTAATAAGCAAAGGCTTCCCTGAAAAAGACGTAGTCTGGATGGCAGCATATGTTGCCAAAACATGTATCCATTGTTCAGCATTAATGGTGCCTTCATAGATGTGCACATCACCCATACCATGTGCACTAATGCCCCCAATAGCATCATGAATACTGGCTTTTGAACTGTGTACTGATAACAAGCTGAATGATTTTTAGCCCGGAGGACACAGTGTCCACGCTTTTAAAAAAAAAAATTAAATATTGATTTGTCGGACCTCAGGACACTTTTCCACTTAAACTCAGTCCATTTTTAATGAGCTCGGGCCCAGAGAAGGCGACAGGGTTTCTAGATCCTGTTTATATATGGTTCCTTCTTTGTGTTTTAGAGTTTTAACTGCATTGTGGATGGCAAAAGTTCTTTGCTATTTTATGTTGAGAAATGTTATTCTTGAATACATTTTACATCATGCAGTCTTTCACAGAATGGTGAATAAACAATAAACTCCAATAAACAATAAACTGTCTCAGTTTCAACATTTGATATGTTGTGTATATATACTATTTCCAATGAAATATAGGGTTTAAATGATTTGCACATCATTGCATTTTGTTTTTATTTACATTTTGCACAGCGTCCCACATTTTTTGGAAATGGGGTTGTATTATTCTAAAGATAAAAACATTTCTAATGCTTTACTAATTGTGTGCGTGTTGATTTTTGTGTTTGTTGATTTTCTATGTGTAAAATATAAACTTCAGAATAAAACATTAATTTCAAAAGAAAAATATTAATTAATGTAATTAATAATTACTATTTTTTATTTAATATATGGGCAAAAAGCTACTCTATTTCCTATAACTGCATAAAAGAAGTTCCATGCTGCCTTTATTATCTGCTTAATCAGAGTGACAATAAAGGCCACTTAAGCGTGCAGCACAGTACAGTCCTTTGTAAATGCTTGTTTAAAATGATCATTTTGATGCAAAATCTAAATGGAGAAATTTTCAGCTTTGTTAGATAATATTTATTTTATATCAAAGCAAATGGGATTTCACACTGAGAAGTCATGGAGAAGAATATTTCTAAACGGCCGAAATAGCTGGAATCAATAGGTAAGATGCAAATAAAGCGGAGATTTCTAAATCTACTTTGACTTGTTTTGAATAAAAACAATACAAAAACAATATATTTCATGTTTTATCTTATCAACTTCATTGTTTTGCTTTATGTTCATTATGAAATACATTCATTCTGAAATTAACCCCTGCAACAGAGTCCCAAAAAGTTGGGAGATGGCCAATTTAAGACAAAACACATTTATGATCAAGGACAGCTGAGGCTTGCCCCTTTGCCAAAAATGCAAAAAATCCAATAGTTTACATATAGCATTCCTCAGTGAGCAATTGCAGGGATTTTTCTATTTCACCCTCTATAATACTGAACATCTTAAAAGCATACAGGAAATCTGGAAGAAATCTCTATATGTAAAGGGCAAGGCCAAAAATCACCCCTCAGATGGCACTGCATTAAAAACTGGTATGTTTCTGTGTTGCATATCAGCACATGAGCTCAGAAACACATTAATGAACAGTTTCAATAAACACTGTTCATTGCTGCATCCACTAATGCAAGTTAAGATTTGATTATGCACAGCGGAGGTCATATATCAACAACAACAGAAACGCTGAAGGCTGTGAATATGTTTACTGTCTGTAGAGGTTTACACCTGTTAACGTAAGCTAGAGTTCAGGGAGCTGATGGAAAGCAGGACTCACTAAAATTACCTTATTTATTAAGCAATCTACTCATAATTTTGACTATTTTTTTTTTTAAATGGTCTTAATTAAACAGTAAAAACCTCTTCAGAGTCCCTATAGGGTTTCTAAAATACTTTATTGGAAACAGATAAACTAGTAAGTTTTATATAATCATCTAACCATGAAATGCATACAGTGTCATGTAAACCTTGTTCCTTACTCAGTTCACAGAGTGAACTTACAAGGTGTGTAAGTGTGCACTAGCAGAGCGAACTGTGATCAGTCTCAGCTCTCAGACCTTTTTTTCCCACATAATTTAATGTTTTGCTTTAGTGTTTTTCTGTACAGACTGTTTCCAATGATGTAGCCAAGTCAGCTCAGAAATATTTTTAGGTTGTGACAGCAAAAATATAAAACAGTAACTAAGCAACTCAGTACCTAAGTATTTTTTCAATAAACTACCCATTTACTTATTCTTGAGTAATTTT